ATTACAAAAAATAATGGCCCTAGTAGGGAGCCCTGTGGTACACCAGATGGGATAACAGACCAGGTAGAACTCTGTCCTTCAATAACAACCCTTTGCTCTCTGTGGGTCAAGTAATCCTCGCACCATCTTAGTAGGCTACCAGAGATGCCGAAATTACACAACTTCAGAAGAAGTATATCATGTGATACTCTGTCAAATGCCTTAGAAAAATCTAAGAACACGACATCCACCTGTAGTCCATCATCCAAGGCCTTTGTCCACTGATGGTGTGTTAATACCAACTGGGTAGCGATTTATTTTCCTTATAAACCTAAAGAAACCGCTGCATGACAATTTTTTTAACAATAAAAGCGTATTTTGATTACCTACAGATAAATATTTTTTCCACCTCTTCTATGATCTCGTCCGCCATCTTGTAGCCCATAATGCAATGCGATATGCCAGAGTGTAGTTTCGCGCCATTTCTCAGCGATTACCTTCGGGTAGTTCCGGAGACAGAGGTTTTAGGATCGCGAATTGTCGTCTTGTCGTATAGTTCACGAGCCTCGTTACGAGTTTTGACGCTCAGCCTCCAAGTTGTTTTCCAGCTGACTTTCCGTAGTAAATTTGTGATTTTAATGTGGCGCTTGTGTTTTGGAAGGTTGTGACTTTCTTCCGTCAGACCACAGGAAGGTAAGAATTTCAGGTTTGAGTAAGTCAAGCGTCTCGGTGTAGATATGTTACAATACTTCAGTTTATTTTGATGCTCCAGAATCGTACTGAAAACACAAACTTCATTGCCCCAAAAAACTTTTGACAAATTATAATATTGTATATTGGACTTCATTAACGTTTGATTTGTAGAGCACCCCTCAAGTAATTTTATAACATGGATCAATATCGACGATGAAGTGATTAAACCGAACGTGCTTTTCGTAAGCCTAGTTTTTTAGGCGAGGAAGTCAATATTTTTATTATGTTCCATTTAAAAAAAAATTTTACGCATTGTGTTTCGAACGCGCAGGACATGACAGCATAGTTGTCGCTCGTGTTGACGCTAAAAATTCCATATTCCAAGCTGATGTTCGAATTGAAAGCCGTCGATCGACGATGGTCGTGCGTGCTTAGTGAAATTGATCATGTACAGAATCTTTAACAACCACTTGGATTACGTTCTGTATTAGCATAATCTTTTATCATTTTCGTGTAAGAATGCACCGTTATCGCAGAGCTCCGACTCCGGTCCAAGCCTTAAAACTTGCAATCCACGTTTTAAGGCTTTATTTTCACCTCTGCTTAACACTTTATGTATAACAATTTGAGAAATTATTTGTTGTAGAATTTTCAAGATATCATTGTTGAGAGCAGGGATACTGTAAGTGAATCATTATGTCTTCTGGTAAGTTGCTATTTTTTTTTTTTTTATCTCACAAGTATGTTACGGACCGCAGTTCAAGTTGATACAATATATATTAATTATCTGTTGTTGAATTCATGATTAGGTCACAGACTTAGATAATATGCAATCCACACTGGGTATGATTTTGCAATCCAAGATTTGTAGGTAGAAATTAGCAACATAAATCACAAAATCAAGCATTGTAAAGAACATATTTATTTATACCTACCTAAAATCAGTTACAATTAATTGATTGCTTATTTTCTAGAAGCAAGGAAAAATTGCTTTGTTAGTCAATTTTGTTAGTGCAATTTTCTTGTGGATCATGAATCGATCAGTTGTCAGAAAACTATCTGAAAGCTAACCACCTGGCCCAGTGGTGAGAGTCCTCACCTCCCACCACTGCACGATGGGTTTGATATCCCAGACTAGGCGTCACATGTGGATTGAGTTTATTGTTGGTTCTCCAGTCCTTGCTCCCAGGGTTTATCTCCCTCCACAAAATTAAAAAAACCAACATTCCAAATTTCAATTTGACCTGGAAACAATGGACTGGAAGAGCCACCTTGTGGAATGACTCCACTGCAAAATCCTTATCATCATAACTGATTAATTCTTGTAGATGCCCTTGACTATACTATTTCTACATTTATGTACTAAATTACTGTGGGAAAACACACTTGGTTGGTCAGAGAAACCTGGAGTAGTGGAATCACAAGACTATTCTGCCAAAGTTCTATAAACTCTGCCTTAACTCCAAGGTTGATAACATTTTGAAGAAAAGGCTTGTTTATTTGGTTTTTCATGACTGCTCACAAGACCATGTTTATACTTCCTTTTAAGAATTGTTTGATTAACCCACAGTTATTATTTTCATTTGAACAGGAACCCTTTGTAGCTGCTGAATCAATCGGTTAATTTTAGAGTCTTTTACTCCAGGTTCATCAATGAAATAAACGGCATGCAGATATGTTTCTGAAAGAAGAATTACACAATCGAAACTTGCAAACACAAAGCAAAATAAAGCAAAATGAAAGTATACAAAGCTCAAATAAATCGAAATGTTGAACACTTACAAACAATCTGAGGGTTCCTTCTCAAAATAACTGAAAAATTATTGTTCGTCGAAATCGATAGGATGAAAACAATTCACATTCACAATCTTCAGAACAAAATTCATCACACATATGGCTGAACAAGATCACTCGCTCGGCCTGGTAACAACTAGAGATGCGTCATTTTAAAAATCATGAAATGTCCGTTAGGAACCCTACACCCTTGGATAACATACTCTTGCATTAGAGGGCTATCCTGTGTATATATTTGTTATTATTTTACCAGGGTGTTGTAGAATATTATGGTGAGTATTCTGTGAAACTTATATATTTCATTTCTACTCTAGGGCTGATGTCATCAGTCAAAAAGCCATCCCATTCCCTAAAGGAAAAGTTAATGAATCGGCTAGAATCACACAAAGACTCTATGGATATCCTTGAAATAGTGTTAAGAATTGATATAACTCAGGGCAAGACAGTGCAAGAGGTTATTGCCATTGCTGAAGAAAAAAACGGAGAACTGTTTCTTGAAACCTGGTGGCTAATCTTTGAACTTCTTGCCCTAACAAAAGATTTTGTGAAACTTGCTGATGCTGATCACTGGCCAATGACAAATGCTATTAATGCATTAGAGAGTCCTCTGCTAGATCAGTATCTGAATGATATGCATAATCATAACACCCACCAGAGAAGTCTGTGTGAGTATGCACGGTACAGGAACAAGCCTGAAGAGCCTGTTTGAAACAAATCAAAGGAGCTGAGGCTTAAGAATCGCTATGGTTATGGATATTTGTACTCAAATTTGGATGCAACACATCCTTGAATGAGTAAGTATTCTTAATATGTTTTTTTCTGAAGCTAGTTTGGTGTAAATAAAACAAATGTAGGTTTCATCATCGCTCATTATATCGGAAAATCATAATTAAAATCTGCTGCAATTTTGATTTCTCCATTGGCGAAAAAACACACTACTTATTAATCTTTTAGCTACCAAAAGTAATTAACATATAACTTTTCCCTATTAACCATATCTATATATTATTCAGCAAACAGATAATGAGAACACTCAAAATTTTCAGGTGAGGTAGAAGTTGCCATCTTGATCTTACACCAAATTCTAGCAACTAATTTATATTAAGAAGGGAGAATTAGCAATCAGATGTTAGGAGTTGAAGGGTAAACGGCTCAGTAGGCCACTCCTTATTAATACTTTCCTCTGAATGAAATTGTAAAATTTTCATTTAC